CTGTTCTAGCTAGTCACTGGGGCAAAACACCTTGCCATTTGTATCTCTGTGAGCAATGTTAAGGGATTAAACAACAACACAGCAAAAGAGTAACAAAAACTGGGAAGAATATGTTCCCTTTGATGGTGGCTTTTTCTTTCACTTCAGTGTCTGGAAGCAGGAGAATCAAAATTCCATTATCCCACCCTAGACTCTACTACCACCATGGCAGCTGCCTCTTTTGCAATTGCTTAGTAACTGAAACATAGTAAAATCTCTGACAGAAAAGTTTTCATGTAGGGAAATTTTGCAAAGAAGTGAAAAGATTTTCTAGCTCTCTCTAAAAGTCCACAGCATTCAGTGAAAATAGAAACTAATCAACCTGTGAAAATTGAAAAACCCCATCGAGCCCACCATTTGATTTGGTTTCAAGTATCCTATTTGATCCCCCAGCAATAAAATAAGCAAATCATCTTTCTTGAAACATCATCTGCTAGTCTGCTATCTCATTGCCTGTATCTCTTTCTTTTCTACTTTGCATGGGTAGAGCCAGTCTCCTCTGTGGCTATGGATACTGGTCTTTACTGGTTCCCCCACCTTCACCTTGATGTTTTTACTTGTCATGATTTCCTCTTTTTGGATACCATAACTTTTTCTTTGCACGTTGGTGTTTCTTGATAAATAAGAGGAGGACTTCATTAGCCCGGAAAAAATAGGAAAAAAATAGTTTTAGAATTTCATCAAGGTTTTGTGGAGAAAACACCATTGATCCACATAGAGTGAAAAAGATTGTTACTTGGGTATGAACCACTTAGTTCGTTCAGTATTTTCCATCTCCCACCTCCCTGAAGCTATTTTTCCCAAATATATCATGGGGGTAGTATCAATAGTGGGCAGCTAAATGGCACAGTGTATAGATCACTGCCCCAGGAGTCAAGAGGACCTGAGTTCAAATGAAGCCTCAGATACTTACTAGCTGTGTGACCCTGGAAAAGTCACTTAAGCCTGTTTGCCTCAGTTTCCTCATCAGCAAAATGAGCCAAAGAAAGAAATGGAAAACCACTCCAGTATCTTTGCCAAGAAAGTCCTAAATGGGTTCACAAAGAGTCATATATGATTGAAACAACTACAACAACAACAACACCTATAGTGTGAACTCTATAAAGTATTTACTACCTTTATAGGGTTGTTGGGAGTTTCAAATTAGATAATATATTTAAAGAATGTTGCAATCCCCAAAGCACTATACAAATGTAATCTGCAATGATGATGATGATAATGATAACACTTGCATTAGATAGATAGATAGATAGATAGATAGATAGATAGATAGATAGATCTATCGATCAATCGATCATAGGACATAGGTTTCAGTAATGGAAAGAATCCTACAGTTTATGTACTCTAACCCCACCTGCCATTTTATAGGTAAAGACACTGGCTCACAGTCATAAAAATAATAATGCAAGTGGCGAAGTGAGGATATATACCCAGGTCCTCTCATTCCAATTTGAGTGCTCTCTCCAGTGCCCTAAGATAATACATCAATGAATGTATGATACCAAATGAGGACCAAATCTATGATCAAGAAGTTGGATGTAAACTTAGAGATCATCTAGTCCAGCCCCCTTAATTTACAGATGAGGAAACTGAGACCCAATAGCTTGTCCAAGGTTAAACAAGCAATAATTGTCAGAGGTGGTATTTTAATTCAGACCTTCTGTCACCACAGCCAGTGATCTTTCAAACTAAAAAAAAAAGAAAAGCAGCACTAACACTTTAGGGTAGGTCCTAGGACTACAAAATGTAGTTCCAGGCTGCCAACTCATCCATGCCTTCTTTATTTATGTGATTGTTTCCTTTTTAAGCCCTAGTCCTCAACTAGAGGTTTGCCTTTCAGTTGCTAACTTTATATTTGACAGCTATAGATATCACATATCTGTTGTAATAAGGATATAATATTGTGTACATTATAGGTAAATAATGTCTATGAAACATGAACTTTTACCTTAGCAGTTGACTCTTTGTACATGAAGTTTGAGAACTATAGATATCACATATCTGTGGTAATAAGGATATAATATTGTGTACATTATAGGTAAATGATGTCTATGAAACATAAACTTTTACCTTAGCAATTGAGTCTTCTTTGTACATGAAGACTGATAGTGTGTTAGAACTGGAAGTGATTTTATTTTTACACATTAGTTTGGAAAGCCTATCACTTTGGCCGTGCTTCTCCATTGACCTGTGATACGTAGCCTTGCAACTGAAACTTGTATTTAGCTATCTTGGTTTCCTTTCCACCAGCCATGTCTCTCTTCAAAAGACAAAGCAACATGGACAACTTTTTTTTCAAGTTCAATCTTTGTTAGTTCCTTAAGGTGGCTCCCTGAGGAAGTGACCCAAAATGTGGTCTAAGTCAAGCCCAGATCAACTAGTTCCTCATAGAAACATCATCCATGACCATAAGCATACCCAGGTGTGACCTTATCCCAATCTCCACCATCCCTACCTGCCCTCTTTAAATTATATAACATATTTCCCCTCTGGCCATTGCTTATTAGCATATGCACCTGCAACAAATGACTGTGGGTTTAGTTGACTAAGTACAGATGTAACCTGTGGTCCCAGATTTAAGATTTTGGATATGTGGGCTCAGTTCAATAGCAGAGTACTTCTCAAAAATCTTTTGGCTAATGCCTCCACTAACATCTTCTGTGGGAACATCAGAGTATGGTTCATATTCATGAGTATGCTGGTAAATGTTCAACAACTTGATCTCTGGGGGGAAAAAAGAATGTACTCATCATGAACTTTTAAGTTTAATCTGTATTACTAATATTTCCTCCATCACTTTATTAAGTCTAGAAAGAAACAAAATAATAATTCAAGTCCCAATTTGTAGCATGTTTTGGTTTCTAGGGTGCAAATGTTCACACTGAAAATTTAACCATCAGCCCTCTTGATTTGGTTTGAGTTGGGTCTAGCACACTCCTGCTTGGATCTATATCTCTATGGAAAAAGCCAAAGTTCTTTCAGCTCCCAAGAAAGCACCAAAATGCACAGTTCACTAAATATGGGACAAGTTTTGTTTTGCCCCATAGAAAACATGAAAAGTCAAATATTTCAGAAGTTCATGAATTTCCTTTCTTCCCTTCTGAACTTGGGACCTTGGATGCCTACATAGTATTCTACCACTTTACAATACCACCTGCTGGCTGAAATTCATCTAATATTGGAAAGTGCTAGGGGTCAATAGTGGGTCAACCATTCATACTTTAGTCTGGTCCCCTTGCCCCATGGAATTAGAGAGTTCATGGTCATGGCAATCCTATCCTGAGATGTATTCTCTGCATAAAGGGTGATTTTTTTTTCACTTAGTATGGCCACAGAGTCAATCTCTTCCCTCTGGCACTGTCATCTAAACAATTCACTATTTTAGCAGTGGAAAAGTCCAGGTTTGGATCTCTAAACCATAACTTTGTTTCTTAATGCTTCTCCAGAAACTCACCCCTCAATCAGTCAAATATCATTTATTAAGTATTTATTTGTTTATTTGTTAATTACTATTAAATGCCAGAAACTATGCTATGCACTAGAGAAAAAAAAAAGCAAAAAATAGCTCCTGTCCTCAAGGAATAGACATTTCACATCAATGAAATAACACTAGGAGTACCCAATGTTCACAACTAGCACCTTGTCAGAAAATGTTTTCAATAATATTTGGTCTCAAGGATAGGGACACGTAGGGGCAACTCCCCACTGAGACACAGAGGAGAAGGGGTGCTGGGCAAACAGAACATTCAGAAAGCAGTCCATGGATGATCTATCATGGAGCATTTGTATGACCAAAGATGGGTATGTAAATGGTGTGACCAGTCAATATAATGAAATTTAAGACGAGGGTTTTTATTTGAGTTTTGAAGCTGTCTTCCCATATGAATTGTGAACATCTGGGAAATTATAATTGGGACTCTGATCATGTCTCCTTTATGGGTTGTAAAGAGCATCTGAAATATTTGAATCATTTTTATGATTTCTTAAGCTTTTTTAGTATATATAATGGACCAAAAAGCAAAATCTATTTTCAAACAGACACGATATTATTGTTATGGTTGCTAAAAGCTAAGAACTGTTAGTTTACTAATAGTCCATTGAAGATATGCTATCAATCGGTTTGTAGTATTTGAAAATGATTGATAGAGTCATGGCTAGCATCTACATAAGCTTGATTCTTGCCAAATAAACAGAAACGGGGCAATTAGCAATCTGGATGGATTGCAATTATAAAAAAGGAGGGGTATGTCTACTCTTCAGAATAAAAACTACAAGAAGGAGAAAAGTCTGTGGGAATATGGGGCAGCCCTCAAATTCCAGATTTTCTTGGACTGCCATCATGAGGACCCTGGTTTGCTCTAGTGTGAGCAGAACAGCAGGATTTTCTCATTGGTGTGGTTACAACAGAAGGATGGACAAGTAGTTTTGGATTGACACACTATTGCTCTTATGTTTGTATCAGCATTGTTCAGGGTCACAGAACAACACACATGGCAAAATGAACTCCAGAATGGAAGAAAGCACTTCATTCTCTCACATGTTACTCTCCTTCCAAGGATGCCCTCGTTAGAATGCATTACTGTTCACACTCCTTTTACATTATTATAGGCAAGTCATACAAGATTATAGCAATAGTTCCAGGAATAAAGTACAACAGTATTTTCAGAATTAAAAACAGAAGAATGTAGAACTTAAGAAAATCTTTAGCTGACACTAGCGTAGAACTACTTGGAATTTGGTTTCTGGGACCCCAGGCTCGTTTAATTCTTTCCAAGACTGGAATTTTTATGGAAGATCACTTTATGTCATCTTTCCAAAGACAGCCTACCCCCTCCTCCCCAAGCAAGGTGCCTTCTAGCACCATGCTGGTGCACTGGTTCAATTATGAATGAGATGCGAGAGCACAAATGAATTGCCAGTAGCATATCCTTTCTTTGGCAACCTCCCATCTGTATACTCACTGTGCTCTGTGCTCTTCTGCTTCTAAGCTCTAATGAGATCACAGCTTAAGGAGGTGAAGCAGTGTTTTAGCTTGATCCAGTTGTTAGCTAGAGAGAAAGGGAAGGCGTGGAATGATTTACTCAACTCCAGAAGCATTTCGGTAGGAGAAAATTTGTTGCAGCCAGTGGAACTTGACTTCTCTGACCTTGACCTTCCCCTGTCCATGAAACAAAGCTTTGTTTTTTGGGTTATTTTTGTATAGTAGTGGTGAAAACTCTTGGAAGGAGACTAATTAAATATGGGACATGTGTGTGTGTGTGTGTGTGTGTGTGTGTGTGTGTGTGTGTGAGAGAGAGAGAGAGAGAGAGAGAGAGAGAGAGAGCTCTCTGTGTTTGATAAGAGAAGAGATCCTATTTTGCAAAATGCCAAAATTTATGATTTTGACCCCTAATCATATTTGAAAACTTTCTCCCTGCTCTGCTTATATGTCCTAGGATATTTGGACTATCTGCTAATACAGGGAATAAGAGGTAATTTCCATATTGCTTATCTCTGCTTTAAGTACAACATATTGCATGGGAGACATTATTTTCACATCATCCCCCCTCCCTTTTTCCCTTAGTCCTGACTATTTCTCATCCCACAGCAAACATCCACTTAAATGGGGTAAGCCATCTGTAGTTTATAAAACACCTTTAAGCTATTGTTTTAAAGTTTCATACCTTTTAATGTTTTCCTATTTATTTCCTGCTGATATCAACATATACCTGGCCAAAAGCAATCTTTGGTGGATACTAACAAATTCATATTGAACATTTGATCCAGAAATTTTGCAGATAATAAGCAGAGTGAACATCTGTGAGAAGTAGATAATTTTTAATATTTATGGACAGCTCATTTCCATGTTGTAATCCTTAAGATGGGATCATTTTTTGCAAGACACAGTACAATGTGAATCATTTCTGTGTATTCCATCATTCTCCAGTAATGGGGGGAACAAAGGTTTGAAGACTGAGGACTAAAATGTTTATTAATTAGGGCCTTTTATTTGGGGAGGAGAATTTTCCCTGTAAGAGTCTCAATATTATGCAAAGTATCCATTGAACAGGGGTGATCTCATACATTTAAAAATTGTCATGTGCCAAATACATTACAGAAATATTCTCTGAATGAAAAAAGAAACCATGCAAAAGATTCACTTCCTACTATAGCATAATTAATACTTTTGATTATGAATAAGGATACCAGTGCTTGGATAATTTTTTAGAAAACAGAAAATTGAGAAAAGGTAGCATAAGAGCATATATCCTTAGAGTACTCCCTTTCAAAAGAGCATTATTGCCTGGAAACCATTAGTTAAGGGTTCAAGTTTCATCCCAATGTTTTCTATGGGAAAAGACCTGGACTAAGGATAGAAAAAAATAATGCATTAATATATATCCTGAGCTTTGGCCTAGGAAGTTCCCTTATTGATGGAAACTGTGGAAGGGCTGATGTAGGGGAAGACAGATCTAAGGGTTGAGAGAAAGGCTGTTGTTGACAAATGGAACACAGGAATGTGCAATTCAATTCAAGCTGATTAATAACGGAAACACAATTGTGTGCTTACCACATGTAGATTCTGTGATCATTGCTTGGGATATCCAATGCTCCTTACTTTATAAAAGAAAAGCAAGGAATAATGGATAGAGTGTGAGCTTCAGAGTCAAGAAGACAATTTCAAATTTTCATGGCAAGTCACTGAACCTCTCCAAGCCTCAGTTTTCTCATCTGTAAAATGAAGATAATAATACAGTAGTACCTATTACACTAAGTCATCAGCAAACTCCAATGAGATATTGTAAGGAAAGCATTTGGCAAAGTGTTTTAATCCATACATAAATGTCCATCATCATCCTCCTCCTCCTCATCATCATCACTCAAAAGGATCTGCATTCTCACCAGTGTGGGTAGTCCACCTATTAAATTCTGTTGCTACCAATACCAGTCTGGTTATTCGGTGTTCTGCTGGTCGATATGATCTTATAACTTTGCCATAAAGAGTCTACCCAAAAGACTTAGGACTCTCTCACTTTCTGGAACACATGAACTCTCTATGGGTTATCACTTATTCTTGCCACAAGACTTCCCTCCTGCACACACCATTTTTGCTTTCAGATATTTCTTTGATGACATCCTTTATACCACATTCCCCTAAAATTAAAACTTTGTACTATGTTGCAAGCTACTCACAATCATATGTGTCTTTTTTATTTTTAGGCAATTGGTTAAGTGACTTGCCCAGGGTCACACAGCTAGTAAGTGTCAAGTGTTTGGTCTGATGCCGGATTTGAACTCAGGTCCTCCTGACTTCAGGGCCAGTGCCCCAATATATGTCTTGTATTGTTCTTTAGGGGCTCACTATTTTTGATTTTTTGGAGTCTGTAGTATTCCATGATTGAGATGATAGAACAACATTAGATGCAAAGGTGAAGGAAGGAAGGAAGGAAGGAAGGAAGGAAGGAAGGAAGGAAGGAAGGAAGGAAGGAAGGAAGGAAGGAAGGAAGAAAATAAATGTTTATTAAGTTCTTAGTATGCACTTGGTACTGTGCTAAGCACTTTACAAACACCTCATTTGATCCTAGGAAATAGTTGCTATTATTATCCTCATTTTGTAGTTGAGAAAACTGAGGCACACAAAGGTTAAGTAATTTAGATAACACCATCATACTTAGTAAGTGACTGAGGATAGAATATGCCTTCAAGTATCTTATATTCTACCTGGGGATACAATAAATATAATAAATGCAATGTAATCTGAGAGAGAGAAAAAAAGAAATTGAGGCAGAGAGTTATTGAGAGAGAGAGAGACAGTGAGAGACAGAGACGCAGAGAGAGACAGAGAGAGAGACACAGGGAGAGACAGAGACAGAGACACACACACACACACACACACACACACACACACACACACACACAGAGACCTGAAAGATGAATGACCCTTGAATTGAGTCTTGAAGAGCATCAAGGATTCCTCAAGATGTAGCTGAGGAGGGAATGTAATCCAGGCCCTGGGAATGACCAAAGGGATATTTTGCGGTACTGGCATGTCCTGTTGCTAGTGCTTGGTATCAGTTTGTGGATTACACTGAGGAATATAATTAGACTCATAGAAAGGGAAAGGAACTTTAAGTCCTCCTCTCTCATTTTTAGAGGAAGAAACTGAAGCACAGAGGGACCATGATTTACCAAAGATGACACAGGCTGAACCAGTTGTGTGACAGATATGAGACCAGAAACAAGGTCTCATGGTCCTAAATCCAGGTCCTGGAAAAGAATACAGAGACATGGATACATTCTTTCCATAAAGCTCAATTCTGGAGGCAATTCTCCAGTAATGTCTTCCATGATGCCCCCTAGCTCAAAATTTCTGCCTCAAATTTTCCGAAAACATTTTCATCTAATATATTGATCTCATCTGTCTCTGCATAGTATCTACTAGTAACCTGTAAGTTCAATGACATCAAGGACTATGTAATTTTAGATCTTTGCACCCCCAATACTTAGAACTGGACCTTACACCAAGTAGGTATTTAATGAAAGTTCCACATATTTAATTGACCAAATGAAGTTGGCCAGAAGCCTTATTGATGTTTTCCCAATCCTCTGTCATGAACATTTGCAAACTTTGAAGGAGGGGCATGATTCTTAGCAATAGCCATTTAAACAGAGGACAAGGTGGAGAAAAGCTCTGTGGACTTTGATTTATCCCTGTAAGCTAGGAAAATTCATTTCACAGAAGAAGTAGTCTTCCCATCTAGAATAATAAGTATTCCCTTTGCAAAAGCAGGCATGAGTCAGGGGTTCATCAATGGATCCTGAGTGTTCTTGAATCAGCTGTCTCTTTATCTATCTAATCTTCACAAATTGAACTAAAAATATGACAATTTTCCTTTTAACAAGACCAATGCTCAATCTATGGCCAACTTAATCAATTCAGATGTCAATATCTATTTCTTTTTGAACCTAGCTGGGCAACCTATACTGTTTAAATTAATTGGAATAATGTCTGATGCTTTCTTTTTTCTCTGAGGATCCAACCCTGTCTAAGATTCTTGTAGAATTTGGAGTTATCAGTCTTGCCTAGATATTGTGGGTTTTTAGAGACCTTATCAATACCACCTAGGTATTGTAGATTTTCAGAGAAAAGTATTCCTCACTCTATAATTCCTATTCTTGCTCCCCTTTCCTTTTCTACTTAATCATTAAAAATTCCATCCACCACTTGTAAGAGTATGTGTATATATGTTAAGCACGTAGTCTTCTCATCTCAGTGGGTATATATAATATACCCTATAGTCACCCTGAGAAATAATTCAAGAACTTTTCATGCTCAAGTGATATTGGATAATATAGCAAGAGTAGAGAGTGAGATCTCTAGAATTACTGAATCACATAGAAGAAAGAAATGTAAAAGATGTTATACAATACTGCCTGATTAATGCAACCTCACACCTCTATGCATCCCAAACTGGTTTTATGAAAAAAGTTCTTAATCATCTTCTGGAGTCTGGGATAGTTTGCTAGATGAAATGATTGGAATATCTATAGTTTTTAATGGCCTATGATATATACCCTTGGCATTCCAATCATACTTACTCATGCTCTGAAACAAGAACTTACACTGTTTTTCAGAGTAGGCATTATCTCATTCTTTATATTAACATCCCAAGTACATAGGATACTGTCGGGCACATAGTAGTCACTTAATAAATGTTTGTTGATTGAAAGATTGATTGGTAGGCACTGACCCAATATAAAATAATAACAATAATAATAGCAACAATACTTATAAAGTTACTGTATTAAATTTGTAATAATTCATTATTGATTTTATAAGTAATGATATTTATCATTTATAATTACATCCAAACATAACAATTTTAAAAACTATCTGTTGTAACCATTATTAATGGACATATTTTCCTATATAGAACCACATAATTGAAGACTTTAAGAGCTGGATGGAATCTCAGTAACCAACCACGCAATCCAACTCATATAATTTGACAGAAAAATGTAAAAACACTCCAGGACCTGTCCACAACAGTATATGCACAAATTGTGGCCACGAGAAGAATCACAGGAGGATAGGTGGAACTATCTATTAAAACTCTGAAGGACAAGCAACCAAGGCTAAATGAGTGATTTTGGAGAATTATCAGAAATCTGCAGAAAAATATGACAGTATTACATCAATAGTTATCCGATGCATGTGGTCGAAAATATGAATGCAATATTGCCAAGTTGTAGGCAACAAAAAAGAGAAACATAAAAAAGAATTTGTGAAACAAAAGTATGTCATAAATTCCAAACCTCATAAATCAGCAATGGAAGCAAAAAGATAAGGTAAGACAAGGAATAAAAACAGTACAAATAACACAAATGATTATCCATCAAAAACTTTACTATAGAGAGAAGTTTGAGAAGAAAAGTAATTAGAGGTGAGAGATAACCTCCAAAGAAGGAAGATACATAATATTTCCGGTCGTCTATAATCTCAAGATGTCCAACACAAGGAAAAAAAAAAAAGGTTGGTCCAAATAAGAAACAGAAAGATGGTGTAACAATATCACAAATGAAAGAACAGGTATAAGGCAGGTGATTGAAACTAATTTCTTTGTAAAGATGGATAAGACTGGGCCCAATAAAGTCTGTAATAATGGGTCCAAATGCTTTACATTGCAACATGAGCAGTTTGCCAGCTTCATCTCAGACATCAACACAATCCTATTCTTCTTAACTGAAGGCATCACCTATGTAAAAACAAACAAAAAAAAAATCGAGAACACTAGTGGTCTCTCCAAATAGTGGTATTGTGTATTTAGGTCTCACAAGTTTGAATATTTTAAAAAGAACACAACTAGAAAACAATATGATTGTAGAGCCAAAAGTATGCACCAAAAAGTCCAGGAATATCCACACTGTCATATTATCATTGGTAAGTACTGGTAAGTATTCAGCAAGCAGTTCTAAAATTCCAGAACACTTCTACTCTTTTTCTTGATTATCAAAAAAGTCTTTGTCTCCTTTCTGCTACTTGCTTGTTCATGAACTTCAAATATAGACAATAGATTTTAATCCAGATCAGATCCTTCTTCCCTGGATGATTATTTTTAAACCTCTGCTCCAATGATATTGTCATTCTGACTTTCATTACAGATACTTCTTTTTCCAATTATTGAGTCCCTACCTAGAATCACAGTAGCCATGTATACTTCTAACCTGACCCAGCCCCTCAGACTACTTTTCCACCTTGCCCTCATTTCTATTTCCTTTTTACATACTGTCTTTTCCATTAGAATGTAAGCTCATTGAGGGTAAATACAATTTTGCTTTTTGCTTGTATTTCTATTCCTTGTGCTTACCACAGCTCCTAGCACATGGTAAGCATTTAATTAATACTTTATCTAATATCTATTTATTTAGGTCCAGGTATATTAAGAATGCAAGAGTAATTGATCTTCATACGGAAAGCTCATTTAGAACATATGACTAATATAATCACACCATGAGCAATTGATAGAAAATATTACATTTTAAGGGGAATTATTTAATTAAATTATGATTCTGCCTAGCCTTAAATACATTACCATCCTCCTGGGTGAGAAAATTACTGCGAATAATGGTCATGGGGATCTTCTTTGCATTTTTGATTCTTAGAGTTTTGCAGATTAGTGGTGTCAAGTTCAATTAGAAAAGGATCCCTACAAGCTGCGTATTGACTCAGA